TTGTTATAGCTTAAACTTTCACTGTATTTGGAAGCAACATCAATGCCTTCCTGCGGATGCCGAACAGTCGCTCCGCCAGTTGTTGCCTCCTCCCCGCGAGTTTTATGCGGGTTTCATTAAACACCCAATGAGGCACCATTCGGGGTGTGTCTTGGTTCATATGGATGCTTTGGTAGCCAGTCTCCGGTTCCCCATGCATCCATTCATCGTTGACTTCGTACGCCGGCTCTCGGTGCTGCCGCCACAGTTCGTGCCAAGCACCTACAGGATATTGACCGGCTTCATCGTCCGGTGTCATGACATGGGCCTTGTCCCGAACGTCGACCTGTTTCTGTACCACTACAGTTACCAGCCCCACTGGACCACGGGGTACCTACGGTTGGTCGCTCGCCCCTTCCGTCAATTGTTTACTGAGAACCCGACCGCCCCGGAGAAGTGGGAGGAGCGGTTTCTCTTTGTTCGTGTGGGGGAATCGCAACCATTCCCCGATCGGTGGAACACCTATCCGGTTCAGGACATTATTCCTGTCCTGGATGCCGCGCTGACATGCCAGTATGATAGGTTTCATCTGGAGGGTTCAGAGAACCTCCGTGCCTACCTCACGCCTTCCAAGCTCTTAGCTGCTGGCATTGGTAAATCTCAGATTTCTTGAATCCGTTCGGTATGAGTGTTTTTCCTTTTGCTGGTTCTTATTCATAATTTCTTACAGGTATAATCCCTCCTGTTTTTTCGAAGCGGCCTGCTCCCACTCCCTCCTCGGTCGTCCCAGCGGATAAGGGGGAGGGGAAAGTTACTGTTGTTGCTGGGAAGCTGGTTCCTCAATCGCGATCCACTGCTGATCAAGCTTCTGACCAGGCCCGGAAGCGCCCAAGGATTGAGAGCACTGGTCAGCTGTCCCGATCGACCATGTTATTGATTTAACGGTTCCTGACCCGACATCTACAAAAGTGGCTCCCTCATTTCCCAGGGATGACTCTGTCGTTGGTAACAAGGACGATCCCTCTCTTGCCGCCCTCCCGAGCAGCGATCGGATGATTGTGAAGTTCTCCGCCATGGGCCCTCGTGTCGAGGGTCAGACGCTATTCGGGCAGACTGCATCCTCCCTTTGGTGCAGTACTTCCTTGAAGGCTGGTGAACATTTCACCAATCTGGTCCATTGGTCTGATTTAGTCGAAGTAGATCATTTGGAGAGTATCAAGGTATATATCTCCATCGTTTTTTTCCTAGCATTAACCTTTTTTGGACTTGTTACTAATTTGTTTCCTCATTTTTTTCAGACCGGTACTTATTATCACCGGGCCTTCCTGGCGGCCGAGCGGGAGATGACGCTCCTTGCTCAAGAGCAGGATGAGAGCCGGACTCTTCTTGACGCCGCTCACAAGATGGCTGGGATCTTCAGGATCGGGGCAACAAAGGTGATAAAGCGGTGGCCGAACTGGCCGAAATGGAGAAGCGGATCCAGCGGCGTGATCGAGAAATATGCGCCCCTCGTGCCAAGGTGAAGGCTGCTGAAGCCACTGACCTTAAGATTGAGAAGGCCAAAGATGAGAACCCCCTTGCTCTCTACACGGTCGATGCTTCCAAGATCGCTAAACAGGCGGTGATAGATTTCCAGAGGGGGGAGGGCCTAAACATTGCCTTGAAGAATACTGCTCGGGAGTTCCTCGGCAAACATCTCGGCGAGTTCCTGGAGAAGTGCGAGGATCCTGTAACCAATGGCCTTAAGCTTCTGGACGAGACTCCCGCCGGAACAGCCTTTGTCAATGCTTTGGCCAAGGATACGCTTATTAAGTGCCAGGACATGCTGGTCGACCAGAATCTTGAGGTGATCAAGGAACATTTTCCTGAACCGTTTGATCCCGAAGAGGAAGATTTCGACGTGTTGTTCTGTCGTGCTTACAAGCGGGTGATGGAGAAAAGGCAAAAGGCCAAGGATTCTGCCAAGCCTTCAAACTCCAAATCCGATGCTTCCCCGAACAAGGATCCTCCCGTAGCATAATTTCTCTTTATTGATTTATTTTTTCATTCTTTTGTCTTTCACGGCCGGTAGTGCCGAAGAATAAAGATATTTTTTCCTTTCTCAAAGTTGTTGATCCGATCGTTAGGACATTATCCATTTGTTGCATCAAAACTATAGGTTTGGAAAGTGGAATTAGCTCAATGCAGGTCCATGTTTGAACAATCTGATTGAGGTGAAGGATATTGCCGTCTGGTCATTTTGACCCAGTTATCCAACTCTGATTTTAGTTGAGATATTGTCGTGCGGTCATTTCGATCCGGTTATCCAACTTTAATTTTTTAGTTGAGATATTGTCGTTCGGTCATTTCGACCCGGTTATCCAACGTTAATTTTTTAGTTGTGATATTGATGTTTGGTCATTTCGACCCGGTTATCCAACTTTAATTTTTTAGTTGTGATATTGTCGTGCGGTCATTTCGACCCGGTTATCCAACTTTGATTTTTTAGTTGTGATATCCCCCAGGTGTTCATCTTCTTCAAAGCTTCCCAATAGCATGTTTGGGCTGTTGCTGGGTCTGTTCGGGCTACTCTTACACCAGTATTTGTAGGGAACTTGATGCAGGAGTGTCGAACAGAAGCTATTGCTTCCAAATCTTCCAGCCTCGGTCGGCCCATTATGGCATTGTGGGCGCAATTGATGTCTACCACCACGAATGTCATTCGGACCGCTGCTCGGTGAGTTTCATCCCCAACCTCGACCAGGAGCTGGATGGTTCCTTCAGCCTCGATGCCATTTCCGGTTAAGCTGGCAACCGGGGTCTTTAAGTTTGTCAATTGACTCCTCTGGAGTCCCATTTTCTCGAATGTGTGTAGGTACAACACGTTTACGCTGATCCCTGTATCCACCAGGACCTGGCGGATCAGGGCATTGTCGATACACATACTGATCACCAACTCGTCCCTGTGCGGACTTAGTGAGTTTGGCAAATATGTCACCCCGAACATGATCGGCTCCATTCTTCCTTTTTTCTGGGGCGGGGTGGTTACAGAGGCTACGTACAAACCTCGCTCGAACTTTTTCCGTTCAGCAGCCGTATCTCCAGTTTCTCCCCCACTGAAGATCACTTTCACCTCCATCCTTGGCTTCTTCCCCGAGTTCCCAGACCCTTCAGCCTCTTCCTGGGGAGGCATATATACATCATTTCGGGGTTTAGCATCTCTCTCGTTGTCCCTTTTCCAGCTGTTTGGCTTCCCAACTGGACGCTGATTCGGGGAAGGGCTGTTCGGGTTCTTGCTCACGTATTTCCTCCGATAACCCTGATGAATCAAATCCTCAATGGCAAGCTGTAATGCCCTGCAGTTCTCCGTAATGTGCCCGTACCTACAGAAGGCGTTCGGATCATTTCCCATGAAAGGTTTGGTATCAGTCGGTGGGGGAATCGTACCTGACGAGCACTTTGTCACGGTGCGTCAAAATAATATTCGATAGTAGCACTTATACGTAGTATAGTAAAGTAGAGTTCGTATCCACAAGGAAAGGAATAATTCTCTTTTCAATTAACTAGTAAATAAAAGGGCAGTTTTGGGATTGATTGATTTAATTTAATTAAATACGAAGATGAACGACTTATATGAGATTTAATTCAAAGATAAAAAAGACTTGGCATTGCTACTTTCCACTTGTTGATATATTTTAGTCGATCATTGTTATATCTATAACTAATCCCCTCTCGAATACTCAATCGAGGAGTAAATCCAATTCATCGAGGGTAGTTATTAACAATGACCGTTCATTAATAACCCTTACTATTAGTCAAGTATAGAACACCGCCATATACCGACTTGATAGTAGCATTTAATCTCTTAACTCCTTGATGAAATCAATTGAGATCTATAACCTCAACACAAAGGCTTCGGTTTAACCAACAAAATTAATCCCTCTTAAGTTTATTAACCACGACCGTGCATTAATAAACCAAAGTTACTTACTTGTGAAACTATCAACGATTAACCATCGGTTCGTTGATCGATTCTAGTAATAATTAATATATGAAACAAAACTAGTTGATCCTTTAAGTAATGTTCAAAATATTAATATGAAATATGAATAGGAATTAATTAATACTCAAGGAAGAATATTAAAGAAGATGAATTCTACTATAGTTAATATCAAGATGTTAACTAATTGTCATCTTAGTAACACTCCCCAATATTAACATAGAGGAAGAAATAACTATTACTATAACTAATGTCAAGATGTTAACTAATTGTCATCTTAGTAACACTCCCCAACATTGATCGGGGTTCGGTCCCTCGGGGTGTACTGCCTGTGCCGGGGGGTGTGGGCTCTCAAGTGATTTCCCCGATATGCTTGGGAGTGGGCTAAGGCGGTAGTTGTTTGGGTATCATCCGCCCCCTCGTCTAGTGATGGCATGGAGCGGATGGGGGACAGTGAGTCGGGGGTGTTATCGGTGGATGTGGACCCCTCCCCCCTCTCCTGTTCGTCCGCCATGCGCTACATGGCTACTGCCATTTCCCTCATTAGTTGAGGGTTTCTCCTGACCTCATCCGGAATGACGTCCTCGAATCCTTGAGAGGCACTTCCGCTGGCGTGCCCCTGTGTAGACCAGTCCTCGGAGGATCCGTAGCCCCTCCGGCCCCTGGTAGTAGAGCTTGGTGTTGCTAAAGTGATTCTAGCCATCTTGAAGAAAGTGATGCTTAGATCAAATAGTTTTGCTTGGGATTTTTGTTCAGTTTCCCACAGACGGCACCAATGTTGAGGTTTTGTCCTGTAGATCCAAAAGTCCAACACACGCTTTGGATATTTGAGGATCTTGGTCTTGGTATAAAAGGGTGTATAAAATATAAAACAGTGAATTTAGATTTACTCAGAAGCTAATTGTATCATGTAATTCTGTGATTACAATGAAACTGCCCGAACGGTGGGTCAGTATGAGTTTAAATACAACACCAGAGAAATGATTCTATTGCTAAGCTTTGAGTATGAAATTGCTAATCCTTCACAATGTATTCAATGCAGGTACTTATACTAAGGAGAAGTAGATGAGATGGACACATGGCTGAACCTAGTTGGTTGTTGCCTTTGCCGCCTTTGTACCCATACTCCCACTTGTTTATGCCATATTTCAGCATTAAATGCATTTCCCACTTGCTGATCCCCCAGTCGGGTACCCCGTTCGGAGTGCAGGACCTCTTTGTGGATGTTTTGATGCCAGTCCTATGTCTGATTGTTTCAAGTGGACAAATATACCCGAATGTTGTTCCGGTATCCCCTGTTCGGGACGTCTTGGGCCATTCCGATTGCGTTGGGTTTCTGCTTGTCCTGGGCTTACTTTATGCTTTGGGCCGGGCGTATTGGGCTTGGGCCCAATACCCCAACACTCTCGATTAAATTCCATTTTGATTTCTCATTTTTTCATTTTACCCATCATTTCTCCTTTAATTTTTGTAGACTCATATTACTTTTGAAATGTTAAAATTATAAAACAGTCAGTTTTCTGTCAAATTCAAATGTTATACGATCATGGGAGGGAGGGAATACGTGTTCAAGAAAGTTAGAAACATGTACACTTTAAATATGCTTTCTGATAGCATAAGTATTTATTATTGTAATAAATTAGTTTTCTTTAATATATTTTCTAATCTATTATAGTATATGTTCTAGTTAAACGTCAACGTCTTTGGTGTGATGTTATCGAACATCAAGGTACTTGGCTTGAAAATTAGTTAATATCTCAAATTTAAATAACAAAATTAAATTTCGTCGATATTGACTTTATAAATCAGCATTTAATTTTAGGTTTTTAGCGACTGGAATTCATTTGTGAAAAATAATTTGGGATGAAGGAATTGAGTATGTTATTGTTTTTTTCTTGGAGTCATGTATATTTAATTAATAATTAAAGTGATATTTTTGTACTATATTTTTATAAAGTGCAGGGATTTATTCATATTGGGTGCATCCTAGAATGATGTGTGCTTCAAGAGAGTCTTCATGTATCTCCCTCTCAAAAACCTCTTGTGTCAGAGTATCAAAGATGTTGATACTAAAACATGTAGAATCATCATGGTGCTTTTTCAAAGAATCCCAAACATGAAATTCTTGCTCTGATCCTCTTCTTGTCCAACACGGAATTTCACAACTTCATTCTTCACATCAATAAGGGTGGCCGCCGTGGTCAAGAATGATCTTCCGAAAATCACCAGAATCTCCATTTTTTCCATCTCTAGAATAAGAAAATACACCGGAAAATAGAATTTATCAACTCGCACAAGAACATCCTCCATTACCCCCAATAGGATAATGAATTGTATTATCCGCTAATTGTAGAGTTATAGTTGAAGCTCCTCCACGCCAAGTTCTTGAATAGGCATTAAATTTATACTAGTCCCAAGATCACAAAGGAATTCCCCCCAGACTTCCAATATAACAACGAATAGTGAAGCTGCTCCCGTGATCTTTGAATTTTGGAGGTAATTTGTTTTGGAGAATAGCATGCACTACACTCCGAGAGTGTTACGATTGCAAAATCCGCCAACTTCTTCTTGTTGCTAATAATAGTTTTCAGAAATTTTGCATAAGATGGGATCTCCACAATAGGCTCAACAAAAGATATATTGATGCTCTACTTGGTGAAGGTGTTTAGAAATTTCTTGTATTGGTTGCTATCATTTCTTTTCTTCAATCTTTGGGGATAAGGAATTGGGGGAACGTAAGCCGCCAAGGATGGTGGTGGTGAGACGTGCTCTTCTAGCTCTTCATCTCCTTGTTTCTCCGTGGGCTCTTCTTGAACTATTGGCCCATCCATTTGTTTACCACTTCCCAAAGTGATAGTCATAACATTCTCCCTTGGATTTGCCTCATTGTTGTAGGAAATCATGTTCTCTAGTCTTCCTTTCTTGTGCTAGTTACCTAATTTGAACTTCCAATTTGTGAAGGGAGGATTTGGTTTATTCTTCAATATTATTCATTCGTTGATTAAGCTTCCGATTTTGATCGTCAAAACGCATATCAAGTTTGGTGGATTGGCTGTGGAGAATCTCAATGAATGTCTCCACTATACTATGATTTTATATAGATTAGCACACAAGAAATGAGAAAGAAAATAGAGATTGGATTGATCAGAGAATAATGTTTTCATTGATCGCACAAATGATCAGTCATGTAAAGTGTTTCTCTCACTAGTTGCGGCTACTGTCTAGAAGAATAATAACCTACCTCTCTTACGGGACAGTTACCCTAATAGGCAAATATTTAATTTGGTGATAGACTATAGTTTGGAGAGAAGCTAGTGGTTGGCAATGACTACTCGTTGGTGGTAAAAAATTGGTTGGTGATAAACTAAAGGTTGGCGGTAAACAACGGGTTGGCGATAAACTAAAGGTTGGCGGTAAACAATGGGTTGATGATAAACTAAAGGTTAGTGGTAAACAACTGGTTGGCGGTAAGCTAAAGGTTAGCGGTAAAGAATGGGTTGGCGATAAACTAAAGGTTAGCGGTAAACAAAAGTAGAACACATAAAGATCGAAATTTAAGCCACAATAATACAATCCAAAGGCACATACTTTGAATCACAAACAAGACTAAACTAAACACATTTTAAACAAAAGATCTAACCCTAGGATGAAGAACGAACGATTTACGGAAAAGGACAGTGACATTAACTTTGTGATAAGCTTAAAAACAATGAAATGGTGGAAGTAATCTACAAAGATGATGAGAGTGAAGGTCATTTGCTTACCGGGGATGGATGGAAGGAGAAATGTTGACGAGTAAAGGTGGATTTGTGAGTCCATTGGTTCAAACGGGAGGTTCACGATAATCTGAGCTCGAGTGTGAGAAGAGTGAGTATAAAGTGGGGGTTAACGTTGGTTTGGTGGTTTTTAAAGGAGGGAAAAGGTCCGGGTTATGTTCGTGGTAGTGAAAAATATTTTAAATATATACAGGTTAAAAAAAGGCTAAAGGGTCAAATAGGTCCTTGAACTAAATTAAAGTGTTCAATTAGCCTCTTATATAGGAGGTTTTGCCCAGCCGTCGCTAATTGGGGCGGTTACCGGTGAAATTTTTTGAGCATCTTTTTCATTAAGTCTAGTTTACCCATACCAAATTTCAGCTAAAAATTCAATCGGGAAGGCAGTCAAATGATTTTCCGAAATGTACTGCGCTGTTTAACTTCGCAGTTACCTTCAAAAAATCATTTGACTGCCTTCCCGGTTGAATTTTTAGTTGAAATTTGGTATGAGTAAACTACACTTTAAGTCAGTTCAAGGGCCTATATGACCCTTTAGCAATAAAAAACCTCAGCCAAATAGATGAATTAATTAAGCTGGACAAAACGCCAAAACCAAAGGAACAATGTTGATATGCCACGGCCCACGGGATGCCAATCCGTGGCCCATGGCCGCCCTTCCCGCCCCCTTCAAAGCTGGTTGAACTTGAAACTGAATAGAAGAGAAGAAACCACAACATCACCGCCTCCTAAGGTTTCACGCATTGAAGATACTTTATATAGGGACGTGTCTTTATGTTTCACAATTTTTATTCTAGTAATGATTGTATGCCTAATATGTATAGACATTCAAGGTCTTCTAGATTTGTCAAAACTTGATCCCTTTATGGGCCAATGTAGTGCGAATTCAGACTTCTATTTGTACAAATTATAACTGCTCATAGCACACACAAAAGAGAGAGATTTCGTGAAAATATAGGGCTTGTTTACTAACAGTGATATTTTCCTGTTTTCTACTTCTAATTTCCGTTCTCCAATTTTCTGTTTTTATTTTTCACTTTTTCTATCTCCAATTTTCTGTTTCTATTTTTTTTTTTTGTTTTCCATTTTCAAATCTGAAAACATGTTCATCATTTTTTTCACTCAGTTCTCCAATACCACCCTTGACCCCTACCCTTACCACGATCTTACACTCTACTCATACTCCCCCACAACCCTTCATACCCACCCTGGGTTATCTACTCGGTGAGTTCTCGGCGAGTACTTGCTGAGTACTCTCTACTCGACCTCTTACCTTGCAGAGTAGCACCTTAACTCGGTCCGAGTTAATTTTCCGAGTTACTCACCGAGTACTCGGCGAGTTAATCAACTCGGTGAGTTAGTCAAAATGGCGAGTACTCGGCTATTACTCGGTATTAAAAAAAAAGACATGTGCAAACAAAACCTATGAAATTAATCGCTACTGGTCATCTGTTTGTACTTTGGAGCTTCGACTACTGATGCTACATACATCATTTGGAGCTGCGAATGCTACTGCTACTGTGAGAAGCTGTGACTGCTACAATGATACTGCAAGGAGCTGTGAGTGCTACAGTGCTACGACAATTGTTAAAAAATAAATAAATTTCTTAGTTATTAAGTTTTCCGTTGTTACTTGTTAAAAAAAATAAATCAATCATGTGATTATCCAAACTACTGTAGCCGCAATTTTTTACTATAGAATTCCAAGCTGCTAAGTTTCTTAGTTATTTAGTTCCTTTCATATTAAGCTTTCATTTTTATATTAATATTTCCTTGGCAGTGTGTATGTTTGGAACTTTAGTCAGAATTGATATCACCTCTTTCGTATATTCCCCTCTCCCTTGTCTAATTTCTTATTATCTCCCCTCCTCTCCTTCATGATAAATACACACTCACAAAATCTTTTAATTTATAGTCATGAACTTTGCTCAGTCCGCGTATAGACTCGTAGATATTGATTTAGATGACCCGGAAGTGGAAGAGGAAGAATAAGTGTGGAATCTGACAACTAAAGATCTATTTGGAGAAGATCTATTTGGGGACATGGAGGATGGAAGAAGGAAATCACAACCTTGAACCCAACGAAGATTAATATCAGACCAACTTATTAGATGATTGACCGCTTTATGACTTTTGCTTTATGACTTTTGCTACTCCATCATTAGGATAATAGGATTTCTATCTTTTTATTCACTTCTATGCATATTAAGACAATTTAAAGACTATTTTTAGACTATTATATTTCTATAATCTCAGGCACCTATATTATTATATTTAATTAATACATGACCGAGTAATCACCGAGTAATCCCGAGTAACCGGTCCTACTCGCTACTCAGCCCTTGATCGAGTAGCTACCGAGTAGCGAGTTAACTACTTAGTACCCACCCATACCTACTCGTAGTGGTCGGGGTAGGGGAGTTATGGGTGGGGGTGGGGTAAGGGGTATGGCCGGGGTGGGGTGGTAAGGTCTAGGGGTAGGGGTTGGGTGGGGTAGTGGGTGGGTTAGGGCCGTGGTTAGGGGTAAGGGTGGGGTAGTGGGTAGGGTTGGGGTAACGTAGGGGTAGGGTAAGGAGTTGGGATAGGATGGCGGTAGGGTGGGGCCGAGGTAGGGAAGGGGGGTAGGGTGGGGGGGGTAGGATGGCGGTAAGGGTGGGGTAGTGGGTAGGGTTGGGGTTGGGGTAAGGTAGGGGTAGGATAGGATGGCGGTAGGGTGGGCCCGGGATCCGGGTGGGACCGAGGTAGGGGAAGGGTAGGGTGGGGGGGTTGGTGGGGGGTAGGATGGCGGAAGGGTGGGGTGAGGC